CCCCAAAACCCCAAAACCCCAAAACCCCAAAACCCCGATACATCTAGATTTGGAATATCTCATAAGAAGCCATATCATGATGAGAATCGAGTGATATCCTTCACTAGTTTTAAGTATTTCCTGAAATCAAATTTTGAGGATTTTATAGATGTTTTTGGCTCCCTCAAGAAAAGTTAGATGTTAATAATAGGCAGATATGGAAATTTAATAAAAAAACTGAAATTTTTGTGGTAAATATTTTCTTAGTTGGAATAATAACTATATTATTTAAATCAACGACTATGAAGAGAGTCTAAATGATAAAATTAATACAAAAGTCCTACTATTGTTTTATGCCTCTCTTTGTCTTCATTTAAAACATGAAATTTTTCCTAAGATTTTTAATATTATTTCAAATAAAAAGGTTTACATTATGGATCTCATCACATGAGATGAAAACATGGCTATCAGAGATGAGTCTTTTAATAACCTACTCTATATGTTATAGACTCTAGTAAAGCATTGCCATCCGAGCTTAAAATATGGACCAAAATTATTTTTATCATTTGATAACCTGTTTCACTAAATATGAAATTTCATATTTTGCAAGAATGTTACCGAGAGGGAAAATTTTTAAGCTTCTGAGCATTCCTAACCCGCTCATGCTACTCTTAAGTCAATAAACTAGCTGAACTCGCTAAAGTTTATTCTCCACGATTATGAGTCAAACTATCTGGGTTGAAGGAGGTGAATTTAGTGTGAATAAAGCTTCTTACAAATTACATGACCCAACTAGCTCTAACTAAATTTGGAGTAGAAGTATAGAATCTAGTAATCTGTCGAATTTGGCCAAAGTTAAAATTTTCTATCTATATTTATAACAATTCTTTCTTAAGTTTATTGTAAAACCGCAATAGAACAATTTTGGAAAAGAAGAAATTGGTGATTATTATAATATTAACCAATTTAGTTAATCAGAGTCAATTTTATTATTGTTATTAAGCCTTCTGCTATCCTAACTCATTGTGCATTGGCATAATTTTATCATCCGAATAGGATTTCATTAAAAAGATTTCTAAGTTTGATGATAATAATTCTCTAAAATAAAAAATTGAAATATTGATAGTAGTGAGGGCCAAGAGCTAAATAAATCAGAAGGAATCAGCAGACTAAGATGTCTTTCTTCAAAATTTATGCTAAAAAATTTAGTATAAGTGCCAAAGCTTGTATGTAAATAGAAAGCGGTAGTTCAAGAAATTATTCAATCAAACATCTGATAGGGTTTTAAGCCATCGCTATACAAACTATGAGGTTGGATTATTCTTAATTAATAATATCCCAATGTTTTAAGAACAAGAACAATTCAGATAAAATATTGTCTTCCAATATAATATTTCCTCATCCACCCTTGCTTCATACTGAAGCATTTGCAGCCCCTATTGTAATCAAAGAGACACAATTCACGGAATGTGTTAGTGTTTACTTGTTATGGATGTCGTTATTCCCGAAAGTGACTAATTCGCCTTCTCATCAAACTTCTTCAACAGGCTTTTGTTCAGACTCTGAGGCTGGCCTTGTTTTCTGGGCTTTCGCAAGCAAGCTTTTTTTCCGGAGCTGAGCCGACTTCTGAAGCAAAGTCCGGATTTCGTCTTGAAGTGACATCTTCCGAGGATGCACAGAGCTGAGTCCTGTCTTACTGTAGTAACTTTGCAACTCTAGGTGTGGAACGTTCTGCATGAGCGATTTGTGTTTGACAGCATAATATTTCTTCTTTGTAGGCTCTTGAATACCCTGAGTTTTAAGAGATTTAGGAGCTCACACACTATCTGAATGATCTTTGAGTTGACTGCCAAACCTAGACGGATTGAATGGAGTCATGTTCATGTTGATGTCCAGTCGTTTTGAGACCTTGACTTTACAAGTTGGGGAACCTTCATTGAGAATGTCTTCAGACAAGTTCTCATCAAGTTGATTAGAAACGCTGTTGTTCATATTTATGCAAATTATATAATAAATGGATAGCTTTCTTTAAATTTCTAGCAGATATCTATAAACCGGGGTTTTGGGGTTTTGGGGTTTTGGGG